TATATATATATATATTAATTATATTAATTATATCACTTTGTAAAATAAATTTGATTCTTTGTTACACCATCCTGATGAAAATGATTTTTTGACAATAAAATTGACTTGTATGTTTTTCTGTATCTTAATAAGATTCTATTAATACAGTTAAACTTGCCTAAGTTGAACCCAAAATGGCATTGAAAAATTGATGAAATTCGACTTAAAGATCGTTAATTAATGGAAAACACAACAATTTCACATGTAAAATAACTTTAAAGCAAAGTCGACTTAGGCAAGTTTAACTGTACTTACACTTGGAGGCATCTTCAGGATGTCCAGGCATATTCGTCCAGCAGCATCAATGTTGGGATGATAAATAGGTGTAACAAATCGTACCTTGGGTGGCTCAAATGGATATCTGCAACATAAAAGGCATTAAAAAGATTTACAATAATTTTCGTCCACATCAAGCTTTTCTATACAGCATTATAGAATTTCATATTCCAACAATTGAACCAGCCTTATACAATACAATACATTCTGGTTATTAAAAAAAAACAAGTAGTTTTGAAAGCGAGATTTTTTTATCCTTATTTATCAAACCCTCCAACCACCAATAATAGTAATTTCGAAAAAAAATAAATAAAAAATAAAAAGAATTGGCCAGTTAGCACACCCTCTGCTATAAAAATAGAAATTTTAGAAACAAATTTATTTTTATTTTATTTTCGAGCCTTCTATAGACAAAAAAAAAATTATCTTAAAGCCGTACTGTATTCCAACACCCTAGACTATCCTAGCAACGGTGTTACAATACAATGGATATCAATTAAAAGAACATGGATATATTTTGGAGATCGAAGTATTGGTAAATATTATAGTAGGAATCTTCCAACATTTATTATTTTATTGTGTTCTTCTGGTGCACTCACCAGGCCTAGGCTATAAATAGGTTGAGACTTGGCCTAGGCCTAGTTTACAACGTTTAACAATGCCAAATGTAGCCTATTATTATTATTATATATTAACTTTATGTTGCTTAGCTGAAGCACCATAGGCACATTCTGCAGCAGCAGGTTCTGAATTGCAGCATTATTAATTTCAATTTCATAATAACTATTATTCACAATAATTATATCCCTTTTTTACTTCAATAGATCGACCTATGATTACGAAAAATACAGTGCCAGTGCATGTCAACAACAACCGCACACAGAGACCTGGATCAACGACGATGGTCTTGCATGCAAGCTTGCTTGTTCGATTTTGATCCGTCGTATTAATATAACAAAACAGTTAGTTTTATTTACATTTCAACGGTGTGGACAATATTAATATTAGTATGAATATCTATACAATACAATATTTAATTAACTACAGCAGAATTGCTGTCTGACTTGTTAGTGTTAATTTGCACTCATTTTCAAGCGTACAGTAGCAGTACACTGAACCACTGGGTGGTAGTGAGACACAACGATGCAACCATACAGTAGGTCTCAACGTTGATAGTAGAGTGGGTGCCTTAACATAAAAATATGGAAGAATCATTACACGGATGACAAAACTTTAATTTTTGGTGGAGATAATTTTATCAACATGCTTGTCAAGAAAATATCTGTAACCAAAATAAAAAATCTTATTTTTGGGATAAAAAAACACATTTTTGGGAAAAAAATACGGTTTTCAATATTTTGGTATTTTTAACTATTATTACAGTGCAAGACCTACATGTATAGGTTTAGCATCAATGTTATCGTTATTTAGTAGAAATAAGCAAATAAAGATGAAAAAATGTAAAGAAAATAAAAGACTTTGGAGGGAAAAATAGCTTTTGTACCAATCTAGATTTATAGATTAATAATTGGATTACCTACAGTATGAAAAAAAAGCCAAATCTGATACAGACAATTTTGAAAAATCTCTGGAGCCAAAAAAAAATTACATTTTTGGTGTAAAAAATTGAATTATTGGATAAAAATATGGTTTTTAATATTTTTGTATTTTTCACTATTACCCTGGTGTAGTACAAGGCCTACTTGTACAAACAGGTTTAGAATCTATATGGTCATTCTTTTTTTTCACAAATAAGCAAATAAGAATGAAATACTTTTATCAACATGCTCTTCAAGAAAATATCTGAAACAAAAAAAACAAAAAAAACACCCAATTTTTTGACACTTTTTTGAGCTAAAAACATGATTTATAGGTAAAAAATAGAGTTTTTTTGACATCTAAGCTACAGTATAATAACTGGTATGCTTTGCATGTAAAAATATATTCTAATCAACAGTATACCTCACTGGTTGATAACACCCAGATTTTTGGCCATTTTTTAGGATAAAAATATGATTTTTTAAATTAAAAAATATAGATTTGTTGACATTTAAATTATAACTAATTAGCTCTGCATGTAAAAATATATTTTAACCATTGATATCATACATCTCACTGATCAATAATATCAGAATATGACAACAGTTAAAAAAAAATCCCAATTGCGCCCATTTTTGGCACAAAATAGATTTGATAGGCTCTATAGGGTATTATATCTCACTAGTCAATAATATAGTGCTATATTATACATAAGGCATTAAAAATTGATAAAAAATTTAAATTGTCAACATTTACAAATTAACTGCAGTTCTCTGTATGGAAAAATACAATTTAACCAATATATTACCTGATTAGTCAATATAGATACAAAAGGTTTTTACAAAATCCCAACATTTTTTGGTGGTATAAAAACTGATTTTTGGTGAAAAAAAAAATGTTTTGTTGAGATTTAAACTATATCCTGATATGCTATGTATTATACCTCACTGGTCAGTAAGAGTGTCGGGTTTAAAAAAATGTTAGACTATTTTTTGGACGAAATACAGTTAATTTTTGGTAAAAATAGAGGACTGGGCTTTTGTTTTGGTTAGACGCTCTCATACTGTAAAGCCAATAATGATTACCCGAATTTGACCCTCACTGGGCTCACCCATAGTCTACCAAGGCCTATAAGGATTCCCGTAGACAGTTTCGATGGGGGTTGGGATGCGTCTTGCTAGCAACATGGTCTTTAGGCTGCGTGCCACATATGGCTCCAAGAGGGATCTAGGACAGTGCCATTGGTGGTAGTTTATGGACAAAGCCATGGAAGCTCAGACAGTGACGGAGGGCCTTGGGCCTATTTTATTGAAACCCATAAGTTAGTGAAATTTGCATTCATTTTGGTGTTGTTGGAGACCTGAAGTAGCAACGCCTCATGTCCTGACATCTGTAGGCCTTGAGGCAACATTGTTAATGTGGATCAATCCGCAAAATAACAAATTCTTACCACAGATTAAACATTAACGGTTTGAACAGTCAGCAAAGGAAATGCATACTGTAGCATTTGGTGATAATTAGGAACGATAGTGAAAATACAGTAGGTACAACAATAGCGTTTTGGGAGCTACAGTATACAGAGTAAGTAAACTTGCCATAGTAAAATCCAAAATGCGACTGTCCCAGTTCTCTACCCCTTTTCATTAATTTTACAGAGTGTGATATACCACATCATTATTTATTGGAAAAGGAAGAGTATTTCTATTCCCCTCCCCCTCTGGGGACGGAGTTATTTTCTTTCCATAAGCAAACATCAATATAAGCAGTTCGACTCCTGTATCCAGACATTTGAGCAACTCACTATTCTTTAGTATGACACTGACAGGACCAGTAGGCCTACATCAGTATCAATAATTAAGGTCTCTCAGAATAACAACGACCTTGCGCATCCACTCACCCATGTGTTCACGGAGGCCTGTTTGGATGACCAACCAGAAGCAACTATTATGGCTGCCGTAAGCTCATGTACGTGATTAAAAACCAGACTTTTAAAAAAGTGACATTTTCGTAACAAAAAATCTTTTTATACAGGTATTTTCTTTATTTTTTTCATTCTTATTTGCTTTAAATTTGTGACAAAAGAATGACCATATAGATTCTAAACCTGTTTGTACAAGTAGGCCTTGTACTATAATAGTCAAAAATACTGAAATATTAAAAACCATATTTTTTTCCCAAAAATTAATTTTTTTTACACCAAAAAGTCCATTTTTACACCAAAAATTCATTTTTTTACACCAAAATTTTTTTTTTTTTTTGGCCCCAGAGATTTTTCAAAATGATATGCTCATACTAATATTTGTACCAAATTTGGCACTTTTGTCATCAAAGTAATTCAATTATTAATCTATGCACAAGGTTAAAATCTAGATTGTTTCAAAAGTAACATTTTTGTCCAAAAAGTCTTTTATTTTCTTTATAATTGTTCACCTTTATTTGCTTATTTCTTACTAAATAATAAGCATATCGACTCTAAACCTCTTTGTCCAGGTAGCTCTTGCACTATATTAGTGAAAAATACCAAAATATTGAAAACTGTATTTTTTACCAAAATTGCAATTTTTTACCCCAAAAATAAGAAATTTTTTTTGGTTCCAGAGATTTTTCAAAACTGTATGCCTATACTAATATCTGTACCAAATTTGGCACTTTTGTTATCCGTGCAACGATCCTGACGCTAAGGCACTCAACTATGAACACTCTATGCTTTTAAAACATGCTCTGCATGCGACCGCACCGCGGTGGTACGATGGACTTGTATTGCTCCACCGCGAGCGACTAAAAAATAGTGGGCTATAAATTTCGTACCAAAAATTTCATTTGTTAACGACGACAAATGGTTTACCATTGACAAATTTTTGGGTAATATTATTTAGTGGAGGAATACAACATATGAAACTTGTGACGAAAGAATAGACAGTACACTGTAGTGTGGATGATGAAGCACCAGGTCGTCTTTATTTCGAGGTTGCGGAATGAAGAGTACTGTGCACGAAGGTTTTTAAAAGAATGAGATTAAATCATAGTAGAAAAAAAAAAAAAACAATGAACGGTATTATTTTTTTATTAAGTTATTATTTAATAAGGATGAATATGGAGTCTTAATCATGAAAATACATTAATTATTATTATTCATTCATTTCACTTTATTGAAAAATACACATAAAATGTGTCAGAAGTCGTGCCCGAACGCCAAACAAATTGTATGCTAGCCTAATGTCATTTAAAAGGATTAAAATAGCCATTAAATATAGAAAAATATAAATGCAACCAATATTAAAATAAATGTATACCTGTTGTGCGGTTTATACCTGGGTATAAACTTTTGAATTGCGCCCTCTCTCGACGTAGTGGTTTTTTTTATGGTTTCCCTAACGACGAGCTATTGATCATTTTCGTCAGTTAAATTAACGATATTGTGGATTTGACGCCGGATGGGAATTACCAAGTTTGATTTAATGATTTTGAGTGAGTTATAGTTAATTACTATTGCAATGGTTTTCCTTAACAAACTTTTGTTCATTTGTTATTTATGACCGTATTATGAAGCACCTTTGGTGCCGTAGGTGGCCATGTTATAGCCTAGGCCTAGAGAAAGTTTATAACAGAGATTCGTTGATATTACTTTGAATTTATTGAAAAATTGTTAAGGCAAACTGGTATGAAGACGTAGGACAAAGGTCCAGTAAAAATTATAGACCTTTATGAGCAGTTTAATGTTACTGTATACAGATATTATCTGTATACAGTAACATTAAACACTGTACTTAAAGTACAGTGTTTAATGTGTTAGTTTAATCATAGTTTTATCTCGGAAAATATGAGTAGATACTGCTTTGCTAGAGAAGGCTGCACTCGTTGTTGTTTGAACTCAAGAATATTCATGACTTGCCTAACTCATTCCATATTTGGAAACAGCCAGGAATCGAAGGGCTGTACTTGTGTATTGATGTTTTTATGGATATTATTCATTTGTTTTGGGATACAAAGACTTATATTTAGACCTCATACATATCTGATTGTAGATAATTACCAATGATTATTATTAGATTATCAATCATTATTATTTTTAGGATATCAGATGATTATAAATCTTGAAGACATTGCACTGCTGGTTATTTGTGGAGAGCAATTGAGGTACTATCAATAATTGTGTTCTTAATAATAGGAATATATGCTGTTGTATTAATAATATGATATAAAAGATATAGTGACTATGCTATAATTGCTATGATAATGAAAACTCTGTTACGGTTAATTAATTTTGAGTTCATGGAAAAAACCATGATAATGTTTTTAGAGAAAATCAGTTATAGTTGCAGTTGTGTAATTAACTTGTTTTATATTTTACTGTTATAGTTCACGGAAAGGATCTTTGGAAAGACATTAAAGACCAAAGAGTACCAGTGAAACCTTGTTCGTAATTTTTTTGAAGTCTAGTAGTGCATACCTGTGAAAGTAAAAAGTTTTGACATATGAAATGTCATCTGCACTCAGATAAACGGCAAAACGTCAATGATCTTCAACATGTCTCCGCTGACGTCGATCACTAGGCGATGGGTATTTTTATCTTTCTCCTAATTCTGTGTAAACTGCAATACATAGACCTATAGCCTAGGCCTTAATGCCTTCACACACAGCTGTTATTTGTGAATATTATAATGTTTATCCCCTTAAATAATTAAAGTAAGTGTGTACTTGGCTATGAGCATTTATTAACTGATGATGTTGTATTGTAAACACAACGGAAAATGACATATTGCCTAGGAACGGGGTTGCAGGGGGGTTACACATTGTGGTCACTGTGTCCAATAAAATTATGCCATTGGTACATTCTGGTACTCAGATACACGACAGTCGAGTATGCAGTACTTATGGCGTTCAAAATAGCGCATTTGATTAAAATCCACACTCCCTAAGTACCTAATTGCCTTTCTAGGTGAGGTGAGAAAATTTTAAAAATTGGCACCTTTACAGTAGATGCTCGGAAATGGCACTCTCAGCCTTTTATTTGCAATTTATTTTTCTTAATGTAATGAAATTTACATCAATTCTAAATTATGCTACGTTATGCACGTTTTCATGAAATTATGCGTAGCATTAATGCTACATGCTACGGGGTCCAAATTATGCCAAAAGTATATTTATGCTACGAATGGCCACTGTGGAGTTACGGACAAGAACGATATCTCAGGGAACCGAATATTAAGTACTGTATTTGCAAGAGCCATGTGCTTAGAACTGTTCATTTTCCAGCAGGGTATGAAAATGTTTTCAACACAACATATGCATGTTGTAAGTTAAAATTTCATCGGATAGACAATGGTTTAGCTGTACCTTTTTGGGAGTCCCCACCGAATGTCGGTATGAAAACAACGTAAATTCAATCAAGTAAATTTTATCAAACGTAATATGATTTAGTTTCAGTTTAATGCAACATCCGATAGACTCTATAAAGAATTTGTTAAAGGTAGCAGTCCCGAACTGGGCTAGGCCAAGCTGAGTAGGCCAAGCTGTCCAAATCATCACTGTAAAAGTGGCTGTCCGAAGTAATTGTTGGCCGTCCAAAAGGCGGCCGGGCGGCTCGCTGTGTTACATGAAAATACTGAAAAATGTTTGTGAATTGAAAATTGATAATGAGTCTGACATGAATATTTTCAGAGTAGGCAGATATAAAAGTTTACACTTTCTCTTTTGTGTACACCTCTTGTACCTATGTATGTAAAATGTTTCTTGGACAGCAACATTTTCGAAGGAGTTCCTGCATACTAAAAATCATTTAAAAAAAATTGTTTTGTACTTACCTTTCTGGGAGCTGAATTTCTAAATGAAAAAGTCCACCATTATAAGGAGTGTTTTCTGCCCCAATAATTTCTGCAAACAAATTTTAAAAGTACATTAGCAAAGACTTTAATCTTGTGTCATTCATAATTTCAATTGCTAATACATAAACATTACAGATGGGACAATTATGAAATTTCATATATACTGTATGTATTACGGTAAATGAATATTAACAAATTTGTTTAAAAGGGATACAAAAAGATAACTGTGCACAAAAATATTGTCCAACAGATGTACTGTTCAAAAAATCGTTATCATTATGTCCCATCTGTAAAACAAATATTTAATGTCAAATTCGGCCTACTTTAAAAATATCCATCAAAACTGACGACGCCGACTTGAAATATTTACCCCACTAAAAACGTGTTTTTTGTAACTCACGATAAAGTGAAACGAATAAAAACGATTATATACGCAGGTTTGAAATATCTTCGGTGTGTTAAACAAAAGAGAGATCAAATTTAGCTTCCAAAAGGAGAAATTAACATGTTTCACTAGCCGCATGTGATAGTTCCTGATTTGCACGTAATCCCCTCGCGTTGCAATCACCTAGCTTCACCCATAGAGGTATAATAAGAATACTAGAGCGCTAACCGCAATGTATTCGATGTTCGAAATACGCAGAACTGTTTAATATTCATCCGCGTTACCGGATCTCTAAAATTTCGTCTGCTATAAAAGTTAATAGCCTTTTTTTTTGGTTAGTTTGATAGTCGTGGCTTGCCAGTCGTCTTAAGTTGAACTAAAACTAGGACTTGATTTAGTCGTAGTTAAAACTTCGACTACATTGTTTGTGAATACAAATTGAAGTTAAAGATGCAACTACTGTAGCACTACAGTAAATGAAGTTCTACAGTAGTTCGAAGTTCGACTAAAGTTTGTTTTAAGAATACGAGCGTAAGTCTTTAGTTACATTTACATTATACAGCGAAAATATTTACTTCATCATGCATAAAAAAGAGTGAAACTTAAAACACCCAATTCATTATTTTTATTTTATTTTAAAATGCTATTGTTTGAAAGTAAAAATATGAATTCATTACACACAAAACATTTTATTATTTCATTAATTTTTATGAATTGGTAGCCATGAGAGGTTGTCACAAACTGTACATTGAACAGTTAGTTACAGCACACCTTAATACCTCCTTCTCTATCTAAAATCACCCTAATTCTGTAAAGTGATTCACCGAAGATTCACAAGAAATAATTATCATCATATTATAAAAGATATGCCTAATGGAATATGATGGAAAAGAACATCTTAATTGTTACGTTAAATTAAAATATTATACATTATAAGCAATTAAGACATGGCATGGTGGATACAGTAAAATGATATAAATGCAAAATATAAATTTCTGATAAAGATTCTTGTACATACATTCCTAATAATTAATAGTCATATTTTTCCTTAAAACAATAAAAAAACACACATTTTGTTACTCAGTACTTGATGTTCATGTACACATACAGGAATTACGACAAGTTGAGCCGCCGGTCATTTCTATGAAACGCCAAGCGCGTCTCTCAGTGAATGTAATGCGTTAATTGTGGCGTATTTCAATTAATTCGTTATTTGTACTATTTTGTTAAATATTTTTGGGGAGTATTTCAATTAATTTACTCGTTTTACTATTTTATTAAATATTTTTGGGGCGTATTTCAATTTATTTACTCGTTCTTGGTACTGTTGTTTCATGGATGTATATTGATAATTACAGTAAGAAAAACTAATCGAAAGTGACAGTGTTGGCATTTTTTCATCATTTTATAAGGAATTTAGCAAATTTTGCAACAAAGGTGCAACTTCATACAAATTCATTTATTTCATTTTATCTTTATAAAAATGTAAGTACATAAAATAATTAAAATTCTAATTTTCAATTACACAACTTATACATCACGAACGGCAATACGAGCAAATCAACGACTGACAAGACTGTGGGATGAACATTTTCATTTCAAAATTTTGATTAGCAATGTTTGCTAATCAAATTGAAAATTGAGTAGCAATATCACATTTTTGTATAGCATTTTTTCCCCAAAAATTATCATCGAACTATTATGATTTTACAACATTCAAGGTCCATGCAGGCTTCAAAAAGTAATTCATTCAAGAAAAGCCCATGATGAAGAAGTCCCACCACTTCAGATGATGAAGATGAACACAACATTGCAATTTATATAGTTAAGCTTATTTTGGATGATAGAGTAAATTTACATTTTAAATTAAATATTCTTTTTGTATGTATACAATATTAATTATTGAAGTATCAATGAATGCTGTTTATTTGGAATAATCTATGTGAACATAGAGAAAGAACTTCCTTCTCTATGATGTGAACAATAAAATTAATAAAGTACATAGTGATGTCACAAAAATATTTTTTACCACCACCAATAATGGGGATGAGTTGACTGGATGGGCCACGGACGTCTGGGGATGAGTTAACATTGATTAAAAAAAATTAAGGTTGAGTTGATCAAGTCAAAAGTTCATATTAGGCCTACAGTACTGTACTTGGCTGTGGTCAACCGACACCGAGGAATGTAATACACTAGGCCTATTTTTTGTGTGGCAGACTTGCTTGACATTAATCGGCACAACATTACCTGTACAGCAGATTACAGTTCTCTTGAAACCAGCAGTACGTACTTACCTGATTGAAAACCATTAATGCTAAAAAGAATCTTGCATGCTGGTCCTATTTAATAAATTAAGTACAGTATTTATAAAAGAGAGTCAGGCCTAGCACTACCCTATCTAATCGTCATCTTGTTTATAATGCTGACAGGTTCCCAGTTGATAAGCTTCACTGCGCACCATTTCAAAACATCTATACACCATATACCACGAGGTTGGGTTTGAGCGTGAATCGAATGCGGCGATGGGCGGAAGGCCGTTCAAAGAGAAGAGCCTGTCTGAGTGTTCTTTGATTTTCTTCCGACAGCACTGACGCGCATGGGAAAAAAGAATCTTGCATGCTGGTTCTAAATTAAGAAAAGTACAGTATTTATAAAAGAGAGTCAGGCCTAGCACTACCCTATCTAATCGTCATCTTGTTTATAATGCTGACAGGTTCCCAGTTGATAAGCTTCATTGTGCACCATTTCAAAACATCGACACGCCATATACCATGAGGTTGGGTTTGAGCATGAATCGAATGCGGCGATGGGCGGAAGGCCTTCAAACAGAAGAGCCTGTCGGATTGTTTGATTTTCTTCCGACAGCACTGACACTGACTGATTTTGAAGAACTTAAAGGTCATTAAAAAAACTCTTCAGAAGTCGGGAAAGCTCATTTCCGTCATAGGAATCATAAATTTTCCATTATGAACCACCCTCTATCAAATCATGGATCCACCCCTGATTTTAATGTGGGTGCTAATACCTCATCACAGACAGTGCCTGGGTCACTAACAGTTGGATGGATGATTTTTTTTCTCATTTATCATCATAAATCCGGGATTTTAAGAGTATCAAATGGGTGTTTTCCTCGTCATACCTAACTCTCATTTGCTTGTGAAAGTATTTGAAGTTCGTGTGGAAAAATACTAAATAAAGTAAAATATTTTGAAAGTTACTTTGGTGTTTCTGACTATTATTTTACTACTGTTTTATACTGTACATTAATTTGTTTGACTATTAAAGAGAAAAAATTATATTTACATACCAGACTGAGGAAGGGCTGGAGAACATAGTCATAGTCAAAGCAAACACATCATTAAATATATGTTCTCATTTAATAAGAATTACATACATTGAATACCAATGCATGGATGGATGATTGTTTATAATGAATAGTCGTCTTCTAGTATAGTGAGGCCTATTAAATATTATTTTTCTTATAAACTCCCAGGAGGCTTTTTTTTTTATCAACATTCAAAACACTATTGTGAAAGTAAACATTCAAAAAACCCACAATACATAGCATATTTTCCAATAAGGCCATGTAAAATAAAATAATTGGTTAGCATCCTCTCCTAACCATCAAAAAGGCCACCGACCCGATTTTTAAAAAAATTTTTATTTTTTACAAAACACTCACAAACTGCATTTAATATAGGTTTGTTTATCACCTGTCCACACACTAACCAGACCACTTGCAGTTCTATGCTCTACTTTTGTTCCATAGGCCTATACTGTAGCCACATGGTATCCATGATGCCTGTTGTGTTGAGGAGTGAATTGTGCATGCATAGAGATAATTGCATTCTGACGCTGTTATTCATAGGTGAAGTTTCTGCTTGCTATAGATGAATTATATAATTCCTTGTATGTAATTTTGGTCTCTCTTGTTTTCTTCTTTTTTTTTTTGAGCACTGTTTTTCCTTGCGAAATTCTTTTTTCATGTTCAACCCAAAAAAAAAAAAAAAAAAACCTCTCTCCTTACCACGAAAATTGATAACATAAGGATGCTAACCAATTGTTTTATTTTACATGGCCTAATGTTATTCTTATAAAGTCTTGCCTTTATATTTCATTGAAAAACGGATATAATAATTTGACTCTTTTCCAAATACAGGTCTTAAATTACTGTATTTATATGATGCCATCACTCGGCGCAACTCATGCATCCACAACAGACGCTATGGTGGGTGTTTTCCCCATACAGCAGTTTGGGCGTCACGCTGACTCGCGTGCATTAAGAATAGCAGTCGACTCTCTTCTGTTATATACTGTACTCTTTGACTAACACAAACCAACTAGTCGATGTCAAGGGTCATATGCTAAGTATCAATTTCGCATGTTTATTAGCTAAAACCGGAAACACTTGGAGCTGTCACCCCTTCAATTTTCTGTTTCGTAAAACGTGGCGTAACTATAGTAAAATATTTTTTTTTCAGATAAAATTTTTTAAATGATTCAAAATGGCCAATTCAATTTCAAAATTTATTTTTTTTAAAGTTTTCACTAAGTAAGGGACAATACAATAGAACTTTAAATAAAAAAAACGGCCAGATTATTATTTGCCTACGCTTCCGCATCCTGCAACAACCACACTGTCACTACCAACTCTATTGGCGCGCCATACTTTCAATTGTTAAAAATCTGGTGGCCGAAATGATCTGAGACACTATGGCCTAGGTCTAGTTAATAGCTAGGAACTGGGCCATGCCTCTACTACTTGGGCCTAGCCTACTAGGGCCTACTTGTTTGTACATGGTACCTACTGTAGTAGGCCTAGGCTAGGTCTAGTGCTTCGTGACTGACTGTGCCAAAACAAATTTTTAACTCACGGGCCTCAAGACTGTCGCTGCTATCACTCTTCATCGAACACGAAATACCAGGTGGCGGAGATCTCTCAAACATTTCTATCTCTCTCTTCATCCTTCCTAAACGCTGCATTTTAACACATTACAAACACAGTAGCTTTTTGACAACAAAACAATTGTTTTTTCCGTCCTTTTTCTCGATCACCAATCGTTGGTCATGAAGAACGAGCTGTTCTGCATATCAAAGTGCGTTCCGCTCGACGACAGAACGCCCTCTACAAACTGTTGTGGATAAACTGCTGCGCTAATAAAGTACTGGATTCCCCGCACGATTAATCGTATTGGAGTTCGTGCTTTCAACCGGAGAGGCGCCAGTGGGGTCGGGGAGGGTGCTTAAGGCCTTCTCCCATCGGTCTGGTCAAGCCCCCCCCCCATCTGCCAAAGCTTGGCGTGTCAGTCGGACTAAAAAAAAAATAGGCCTAGTTTTCCCATCCCAGTAATAAGGCCCACTGCCTACGCCAAACCAAATCAACTTGATAGAGGCCAATTTAACAAAGAAAGTTAGGGGGAGTGGAATGTTAAAAGCAGTCAACATAGCCAGATATCCTAACTAATCCGTCCTGTTCACCCTAATCCCTGTTGACACTTGATTTTTCACCTTGTATACAAATGGCGGCAATTTTGAAAAATGGCCGCCAAATTTATTTAAAATGTGCATATAATTGGAACTAAATAAGCTACAGATATGATGTTGGTGTCTAAACTCATAATTTCTACAGGCAACAAACTAGACATATAAAAACTACTGTCACTCATGCCAGAATAGAACATAATTCAAAAATAGGTGTTTATTTGTTTTGAAATACTGTAACCGCAAAATATAAAATGTGCATAAAATATGAATAAGTATATAAACTCACCAAAAGTCGTGTTTGGTATCGTTGGAAAGCTCTTCCAATGATGCAAAATGTATTGCAGTTTTCATATATCAGAAACGGTGTAGTGTTTCATATATTGTCCCATACAATTCAATTATGGCATATCATATTAAAATAAACAGGACCATTTGCGTAACTCATGAGCTCTCGGGGTGGGGGTGGGGGCGCTCCTACTACTACCTAGCACATTACTACCAAGCCTTAAGTAACGCATGTGCTTTCTGGGTGAAGTCCGAGTCGAATTGGGCCCTGGAGATGCCACTAGGCCTACTTATACTTACAGTAACACTGATACTCAACACTCTCCTACAACGCCTTAACAATACCTAACCTTTTCTATAATTTCCGAAAAAAAACCAAATAGGCCTAGACCAAAATCCCACAAACACAATATGTGGCAGATTTATTAGAAGGGGCTCTTTAACTATGCCCCAGGATACCCCACTACGGAGGTTTGACCAGTTATGTAATGCCTGTGTGCTTTCTGGGGAAAAACTTACTTCCTCCATGTCCAAATTAGTCCCGGAAAGATGGCCCCTACTTACTACTACCGAGCAATCTAATAATACAAAGCTTTTGACAAAATATTTTGTTTTAATTTTTTTCAAAAATGTATAATGTATGAGCCCCGGACGGCTGCATAATAGTACCCACCTTAAAATCCGCCTCCTCCGACTTTAAACATGTCATAAATAAAGAATAAAATACATGGTTATCCATCATAGTAGGCCTATTATTAAATATTATACACAGCATATTGAAATCGATTAAAATAATGTATTCAGTACATTATAGGCCTACTAATAATTCGGATATTCGGATGATAAACGCCTGCAACATCATCAATTGGACCTTAAAGGACGATGGTCATTTTATTCAGATTGGCGTTATCATGTTTCAGAGCAACATAATTTTTGGTATCAAAGTGACACTTTATTAAATACAATCAATGAATTTTGTTACTCAAACGTCTTTATATTGATATTTTCAAGCCATATTAGATGACCTGAACAAAAAGTGATCCAGAAATCGTAGGCTTACTGTACAATATATTATGGCGGAAGTAAATGTTTGTCCGTCTCTGAATTTTAATAGTGTTACTGTAATCATGGAGGAAGAAAATAGATAATAGACCCTATTATTAAATATTGGAATGGTACCTATTTTTTGTGTTAACATGCTCTAACTCATTTTCTTGATCTTTACTTTTTAATGTTCAGTACAATTAATTGTTTAACACTATGCTTTCTTAGATAAGATAGTATAATGCATACTCTAATACGATGGCGTGCATTTTGATACTTCGAGTATGTATTACTATCTTATCTGATATTAATCAGTGGACCTTTCGGTTTATGCTTTCTTATGTTTGTATTTATATTTTCTATTTATTTCTGCATTGCTCCCCTATTCGAAAGTGTGAGTTATTTCCATTCCTCAGAAGTCAAAGCCTCACGCAATCAATTACCGAGTTTCAGTTTCTGTATAGGTTATAGACTGTTGTAAGTCTTTTTTTTTTTAACTTAACTTATATTTATAACCAGGGAGGAGAGCAACTTGGCTCAGTTGCCTAAACTGGTGGTAGCCTCCTTGTGCGCTGAAACGTCGGGATCTCTAGGTCTCCGATTAAAATCAAAACGAATCATTCTTTATTTCATCACTCAAAATGGGTTGAATTTTACAAAAATAAAGGGTTCAAGCAAAAAAATCTAAACAATCAACATTTAAACATTTTTCAACAAAAAGGACCCACATCACAAAAACAGCAAAAGGAAACAGGTTTAAAGGGCAAAAAGGCAACCAATATTAAAATTATTATTATTATTATTATTATTATTATTATTGTAATTACAAATATTGTAGTGAGATTATTATAGTTATTTATTATTATTACTGACTTAAAAATGAACAAAACATTCGCCTGTACAAGGAGTCCTTTCTAGCCATTTTGGAGGATAAAAGTTTTCTAAGATGGTAATTAGAAGGGGCTTTATGGAAGGAGGTGGTGTATTGAATTCCCATCACTGCTCTCCATTTATTTCAGCTGGAGGGCTAAAATGCAAGTTACGATAGCACACCGTCTTTCGGATGAGACATTTAACCTGTTGGTCCCGTGTGCATTATGGCCTGTGTGCACGTTAAAGTGCGCAGTATACTAATTGAAAATGAGTAGGAAATTGTTTCCCAATGTACAGTGGCGTAACGACATAATGCGCTCTTGTGCAGCGGTGGCATAGGTGTGTGAAAGTCCCTCCCTACCCACATTCCCTCTATTTTGAATACCTTGATCTGCCACTGATAGGCCTATCATATAATTTATTTTGTTTTTAAAAGCAATCTAGAATACAATGCCAAATATTAGAAAAACGAGCACATTTAAATACCCACAATCAAAGTACTGATCGGATCAAAAAAGGGCCCCCAGTCTCAGAAAGTCACAGGGCCCCGGGCCCATCGTTAGGCCACTGCCGGTGTGGTGCCCAATCACCACAAGAAGGACCTCACTGGAAACAAATATTCTTCCGACTTTTGTGGGTTTCCTTGGTGTTTACAAGAATTTTGTTTAGAAATGGTGGAGACCACAGACATTAAAAAAAAAATAGCTTGTTTTGGAATAGGCCTACAGTGAAATCATGCTCCCTTCTTTCTGGTCTTTCTTTTCTCTTTCTTCTTTATTTTTTGGGGGTTGGGATAGACCCATGTCTGCTGGACCCACCCTGAAACGATTGATTGAAAGATTGTTTGATAACACTTATTTGTATTGGCAAAGCCAAGAAAATGTACGTGCATATGCACAAACCTAATATATATATGTTGCACGCAAATATTCAAATTAGAAATGTGTGTGCAAAATATTATTCACACAACATTTTTTGGTATTGTCTAATAATTAAAGTCTTTTCATCCTTAACACTTATCTCTAGTGGGATTACCCACCCGGTGTCACTTCGTGAGCAAAAATATTTTAATGATATGCCTGGTGCTACTAACATTGTTTCGGCCCGGGACCCACGACTCGTTGTTGCACCACTGGGAGGACCATGCCGATTAATGTTATAACAAATCAATCAACCAATCAAACAGCACGTAACATAGTTACAAGTATTTACTTGTTTATTTGACATAATAAATGGCGTACAAGTATTTACTGTATGCAGAATCATCAATAAGCCTAAATAGGAAAACACAATATACTGTATTTGCCTTGGCCACCATGAAGTAAGAGTGGGGCCCCTGGCCTATCCGGGGGTCAATTGGACTTGGAGGAACTAAGCATTTCCCCAGAAAGCACACAGGTGTACATATCTGGTCAAACCTCCCTAATAAAATGATGGGTCGTAGTTGGACTGACCCCTTCTAATAAATTAGCCAAGAGAGTGTTTGTGGATTTTGTTCTATTTGGTTTTTGTTTTTTTTTTTTTTTTTTGAAAATTATAGAAAAAGTTATACCGTATTGTCAAGGCGTTTTAGTAGAGTGATTGGTAGTACAGTAGTAAGAAGGGCTCGGTCCCCGTGGCTTCTCAGGGACCCATTTGAACTGGGACTTGGCCCATCAAGCACATGCGTTATGTGCTCGATAGTAAAATGCTAGTTAGTATTAAGAGAACCCACCCACCTCCACCCGAGAGCTCACGAACATTAGGCAACTGGGTCCTGTTTATTTTTTTATACAGTATGCCACAATTAGATTTACAGGATAATATATGAAAAACTACACAGCTTCTGATATGTATATACCGGAAAACATAACTCATCATTGGCAGAGCTTTAAAATGATACCAAACACAACAACTTTTGGTTTTGGTGTGTCATGTGACTTTATATATTTGTCTATATCGCTGTAAATATGTATTATGTTGTTTAGGTGTAATGACAATAAATGATCAGTGTATAATTCCCTTTCCATTGACACCAATTATGACCATGTTTTATGTGGTGCGTCAGCCATCTTGAAATTCAAAATGGCGGCCGATGACGTTGGGACAAAAATGGCACCTAACTTGTTTGAATTCAGCGCAGTAAAAATGATAAAATTAGTCAATAAGATCTATTTTTGCACAAAAATCTATCTGGATTACATAAAAACTGTACTAGTAGCTTATACTCGTTCCTATTTTATGTAGGCCCTACATTTTAAGTATATTTTGCAATTATTTTAAAAACAAATAAACACCAATTTTTTAATTATGTTCCATTCTGGCTTGAGTGACAGTAGTTTTTATATGTCTAGTTTGTTGCCTGTCTAGAAATTATGAGTTTAGACACCAAAATCACAGTCTGTAGCTTATTTAATTCCAGTTTTATGCACATTTTAGAT